CTAATAATTGGGTCCATGAGAAAATCCTCAAACTCTTCATTTTTAATTATGTTTAGCGATAATGCTTTACCACCTTGTGCGATTTATATGATTCTTTTTTTGTTAGTAAGGGGCATTGATCTGGCAACCTAGGGATACGACATGCGTAATCGAAAAGTGGGACCGGGTCCGCCATTACTGTGAGTGCAACTTGTCAATTTTATAGGTTATATTTTTAGTGTCATTTGTGTAATTAAATTTGAATTTAATTTGTGTTTGAGCAAATTTTGAGTGTTACACACTTATAAAGTATATAATGCCTTGATGTGTTATACGTTCCTGCTCTAGCGATAGACGTTTTTGTGAAAAATCGACTGGAATAAAGTTTCATAGGTTAGTATCAAAATTATAAATATTATACAGGACAGTATTATTACAGGTTTGTATAAAATGTGTAAAAGTATCCTTTTAAAAATGCAAAAAAATCATCTATTAACGAAATAATATTTATAAATTTCCAAAAAATCCTGAATACCGTTTGTCAACAAGCATATTTGGGAACCTTCTAAATTCAGCTGTATATGTTCCAAGCATTTTCTTGAGAAGTACATTAATCTTACGCCATTTCGTTTATCAAATTTATAGGCATTTTTATATTCTTATTTCTATTTAAATATAACCTACATTGGCTGTCCTTCCACCAGTTTTATTTATTATTTCTACAGCTGATTGAAAAGTAGAGCTCCATGTTTTGTGTATGCATGAGTATTGTTTGTTTTATTAGGGTTAATTTAAAACAATATTATTAGACCTTTTTAATTACCTATAGTTTGTTTCAGATTAGTGTGTTAAAAGGAATTGGTGAAAATAAAGCGATTTGCCAGCTTTGGGGATGTGTCAGTAAAAGTGACATCAAAGTTATTCAACGTTTCCAGAATAAAGTATTAAGGAACATCGTCGATGCACCCTGATACTGCCACAATACTGATCTTCTTAGGGACCTTAAAGGGGAGACTGTTGAAAATAGAATACAAAAATTTTCCAGTAGTCACCAACAACGACTGCTCCAACATGGAAACCTTGAGATTATCCAACTCCTCAACAATGCCAATCTAATAAGAAGACTCAAGAGAACCAAGCCTTTTGAGTTAGTTCAGTGATGTTAAAGCAGAGTAAAGTGCAGTTAAGTGATTTAAACTCTAAAGTATACTAGAAAGTAGAATATCAGTTTGTGAAGTTTTTCATCCCTTGATAAGTTAGAATAAAACTTCTAATTGATCATAATGATTAGATTGTTACAATCGTAAATGTTTCTTTACTTGGGGCATTTATTAAAAAAAACTTTGTTTCAGATTAGTGCATTTAAAGGACTTTGTGGAAATTATGTGATTCCTTTATATTTTTTGAAATAATGTTTTAAGAATCAATATTTGAGTTTTGTGTATTTTAAATAGACATGTATATTTATAAATGTCTTTTTTTTTAGTCTAATAATATTTTAGAGAAAAAAAGCTAGAATACATTTCTGAAATATTACTATTTAATATCTCTAAAAGATTTAAAATTTTTATTTCAGAAATATTACTGTGTAATATTATATTTACTGGAGTTTTTAACGTTGTTTACTATGTTAATATATCTTTTGATATTTAAACTCTTGTAGCTTGGTAACCATGCAGAATTGGATATTTGTTCATAGGACATTTTATGCTTGAAATGAATTCAGGAATATAATATTTAAGTTTGTATAGTGCATATGTTCTTATAATAATAAATATTTAACATCAATACTCACTTAGTTTTTTTTTAATGAGACTAGCAACAAAACCATAACCGTTTGTCTAGTATTAAAAATAAATATCACTCCTAGATATGGATAAGAAAATATTAAAACTTTATTCCTTGTACACTTTTATTTAATCACAGCACACATTATTTTCATTTACAATATTTGCTTGATGTTCATATGCCCCAGTCTATTTTGTTTACCTTTTCTAGTGGCTTTTTCTGCTAAACTTTAGTCCCTATTCTACTTCCACGTAGGTAATGAATTATTCAACCATTTAGTCAACAACGGGGTTTTACTTGTTTTACAGTAAGATACTTATCTTTAATGATAAAGTTTTAGAATTTGAACTTGGATTAGGCCATTTTCGTCAATTTTGTTCTTAGAGCTTTTGTAAAAACACTTGGGAAGTACTCTCACAAATTTATTTCTTATTTTGCCTAGCGAAGAAATTGTGCATTAGGAAATATTCTGGTTTTTACCTTAGTGGTCAAGAAAAGCACTTACAGTGGATACTTTTCCTAACTCGATAAACATTTATTACCTAGATGTTGGCCTCCCTTTATCACCAGCCTACAATTTCAACTCGTTTGCTGTTAACATTAACTTCATCTGTGACTTTAACTATGGTTGAGACTTCAACTTTATCTTCACATTCTTTGTCTGACTTTCAATCATACACGCTTGTGGTGCATGTTGTGTTACTACGGTAGGCCTTTACATAAGTAGCCATAATCTCTGCAGATGGTGAGAAGCCCAGCTCAAACCAACTACCATAATATCGTCATTGGATCTATAGGTCTCAAGTAAGATCACTTCATATTTTACATTTGTTAGAAATGCACCTGCACTCCGCTGGTTGTGGCTTCGCTGATTTAGTGAATGTCTTGCATGAAGATATATACACCTTTGAGTCTGAATCTACAAAAGTACCAAGACCAAGTAAGATTAATCCACATTTTGATTTCCTGAATAGTGCATCTACCTACACAGAGATTGCTTATTAGCCATTTTCCGCGAGCCTTGCATTAAGTTTCGTATCTGATTATCGAGCTTTTAGTGTATGAACATTTGTTCTTAATTTCGAGAAAGCTGTTAATTAAAGTAAGGTTAGATTACTTGACATTTGCGACCTTGTACTTTCCGATTTAAAGACAGAAAGCATTGGGCTCATAGAAAAACTAAAGATTGAGCTATTTATGTGCCCTAGTGCAAACGTGTGACGACTGATCCAATAAATCGAACTCTGTTTACTTTTGTCGCTTATGTGAACCAAAAATGTATTATTTATTTTTTCTGTGAATGATTTCAACGCTTTAGGGTTAATTTTACCATTGTGTTAAAGTTTAAACTATTAATTGAAGATTAAAATTACATTTTATGTAAAAATGTCATTTTAAACTTCGTTAAACCCAATGGTGGAATCGGCCCCAAGTTAGTTATATCATGGTCATTGATTAGTTGCAATTTTGCAAATAATATATTCTCCATTGCTTAATAGCCACTTGAGTGATAATTAAATCAGTTATATTTTATTTCTTTCATTTACTTTATTCAGCACCTCTCGGCTGAAAACCGGGCATATTTAAGCTTTTAAATCCCCTTCTTTTATAACCTCGGCCTTCCACCACCTTTTAAGTCAATGTCAATAAAAAGAAAAATAATTTTTTTATAATTCAAATAATGATACTTAACCAGAAATAGTAGGTATAATAAAAACTTGTACCGGTTCTGTTCTTCCGCCATTTTAGTGAGTGCAAAAGCCACGCCTACCGGTCCCACTTTTGTATATCATAAATAATACATATGACGTATCCTTAGAACAGAAGTAAAAGTTGGAAATGCTTTTGCCAGTTCTCCCACTTTAGACACATAAATTGACAGGTTGGCAGCGGATCTTACCGAAGTGGACGCGATTCATTGGCGTACAAAATTATTTTATAGATGTTAATAACAATTTCGAGTAAATAGTTTAATAAATTGTGAATAGTTGTTGAAATTTTGTAAAATTATGATTTGAATATTATAATACATGTTTAATAATTATTTATAATCCATAAATACATGCGATTGTCTGGTTCCGCCGATAACAATTTAAAATTACTTATTCTATGAAACGACACTGGCAGGTAAACATTACTGCGAAATTCTCGGAGCCGCCCGACGTGGTTTGACGTTTACCCCCTCTCTACCTACCAAAAGACTTTTCAACTTTTACTTTCTCTATACGTTGCCTTATCAATGGTAAGGGGGTACCTCAGGGGCGGTCCCATATAAATTTGGTTCAGATGTGGTGATGGCATCTGCCCCAGACAACACACCAAATCCCAGAGATATTTATACAGAATATCTTTTGTGGATATCCAATATATCCACAGGATATCAGAAATATTCCGTGGATCTAATATGGATATCCAAATGTCCGTCTATATCCAGAATATAGAAGATATCCTATGGATATTCAGCAAAATATCTAGAATATCTTCCAGACAATACAAGAAATCGCAGAGATATCCACAGAATATATTTTGTGGATATCCAACCAAATGTCCGTCTATATCCAAGGATATCCTAGATATTCAGCAAAATATTTTATAAGTATCTTTAGTAGATGTTCATAGTAACCAATGAGTATTGAATAACGTCGAAAGAAAATAGAGATAAAAACTATTTCCATCTTTGATTTTGCCCACTAAGGGAAGACTAACGAGAATGTCATGTCATCCTTTCGTTATTAGGATTCTTCAGCAATAAATGGGAATTCTCAACTTCAGTCTCTAATGAAGTTGATTCTGAAAAAAAATTTCGATCGAACTCAATTACGGCGGGTTGAGCATGAGTACATACGAAAGTGGTATCGCCATCTATACGTAGGAAGCAAAATCAAAAATTAAATCTAGTGGATATCCACGATGGTTTGCGTCCGCGCTTAGACTTTGATATATTTAGTGGATGTGGACTAATTTTAAATATCTGAACGGTTCTATTAGCCACAATGGCGAGCACAAAGGCGTAATTTTTTAATAATTTGTTATATAATTACTATTATTTACGGACATAAATGTCTATAAATTACATTTCATGGATATAAAATAGATATCCACCATGGACTGGATATTCAGTGGATATTGGGATGTTCAGTAGATATCCAAAGGATTTGGTGTGCTGTCTGGGTGCACGTTTTTGAAGTCGGTTTTTTTACATTTTTAATTTCTAATACTTGTAACGTTTCTAGAACATGTTCTTGGCTATAATCAGTGACACATACGCTGATGTTAAAACTGAAATAGCTGTTGCCCCAAACGAAATGCACATGTTAGAATATATTCAGAAACATTTTGGCAGGATACTCAGAAAAATGGGATGCGGAAAATTCTTGCCCAAGCAATCTGACATCAAATCCGAAATCAATGCGAACGTTAGAGACATTCGCGATGTTTTGAAAAAGTAAGTCATTTTGACACATATCCGTCAAACTATTTTTTAATAGTTGCCTACGTGCCTACGAAATAATGTGGGGGTAATATTGGGATTTATTTGGAGATTTCCTGGGAATTTTTCATTCTGTTTTTCGGAACTTCAAAACCGATTCTTCTCGACGGATCGTTACGTTTTTGGGGTTCCCTGAACTATTAGAATTTGGACATAGTTTACGCATCTTGAGGGTATTTTATCAGTGTTCATTTTTCTACTTTAAGGATATGTTATTTATGATGATATTTTTATTACATATATTTTTTCTCTAAAATGAATCGTATTGGAAAAATTAAGGGAAAAGTGTAAAATTCGAATTTACTCGATATTTTCGTTTGCAATGGAGATATTCATATTCCAAACACTTTTTGATTAGATGAGCCATACCTACCATTAAATTTGATTACTTTACTAGAAAGTAATGTGTGTTGGACACATCAAATTTTAATATTTCGATTTATCGAAATTGACTTCAACATTCGACTTAGTCTAACAAACAATAAATGAAATTAGTAATCTGCGTTAATAGTACACAATACAAAATATGTCAGCAGGAGTGAGCCACAAAATTTGGGTTCTGAGGTTGGCCATCGAATAAATCACGCATGTCAGAGTTTATAATGCCTCTTTTACTTTAAATTATATTATACTGTCAATTCCACTTTTGGTATGTAATTTCAGATAATTTCATATGTTTGGTAGACCATGATTTGATAACTCACATACTCAAATATGGTCTTAATTTTTTTAATTCCACTTGTTTGTTTTCAGATGTGGTTACAGTGACCTTGAGATAGAAATGTTTTTTGCAAGATATAACATTAGCCCGTTAGCTGAAATGCATGTCAAAGATTCGGATAAGTTACTAGCAGAGTTGAAAAATATATTAAGTAAGTTCAAAGCTATTTGCATATAGTACGTTGACTAAATCATTAAGCAAAATAAAGATGATACGTTTAATTATATTTGGACGAGAGTGGATTAAAGAGAGTAACTCACGATTCGCCTATCTGCCGTAATTAGACGTATAGTTAAAGTAATCATAACCGTTTTAAAGCGACGAACCAGGAAACACTTCGGTTATACCCTTCATTAACCTTGAAATCACGTGACTAAAATCCTAAAATATAACCGGTTATTGTCACGCATTAACGTTAAATCGTTTTTAAATAAGAAATGAAATTTTGATATTTAATTTCTAGGTTAATTTTTTCTGGCTCTAAAATCAAAATTGAGGAAAATTCGTTAACACTTATTATTAGTGCATTTTCCTTCGGTTTTTAATTATGGACAACTATATAACAAAGGACCCCGCAATAATCTTATGGAAATTGGGTTTCTGTCAAATTGTCTGAATTTTTGATATGTTGTAGATTTTGTCATCCTAAACAAAAGTCTTCATGGGCACAAAGTGCCAAAATGAATATTTTGGCAGCTACGGAGCTGCCAAAGCTCCCCTGACCCGTTGCAAAACTATTCATTTTCAATACTATTTACAGATGTCAAAAGCATATTTTAATTATTTTAATATATAGGGTATGTTTTTGAGGTCACTGGATTCAACCCTCATGTCAGATTGGACAAATTGACAGTTGACAGCTGTCAATTGACTGTCAACGAGGAATATAAAAGTAAATATCCTCTTTTCACATTGAGAGTTTGGGTTTTTGAGGTCGCTAAATTCAATTCTCATGTCAGATTGGACAAATTTACACCAAAATAAACGAAGCCTCTCAAGAATCCAATGACTAGCGATGATCGAAACATATCAAATATTTGGGGCATAATTATATTCCTTTCAAACAAAGGTATTCTCTTGGTAAAGATTATCATACCTAGTTGACAGCTGTAAACTTACGGTGTCTTCAATTTTATGACTTACTTGAATTCAATTATCTAAAAAGCATAGAAATGTTGCAAATAGCAAGATAATACCAACACTCATTGTAAATAGATATACTACAGCTGTAAACTATTATTTTCTCTGACTGTACATCAGCTTTGGATTTAGCAAGCTCAAAACAAATCATTCTAAGCTCAAAAATAATTTCTTTAATATTTATTCTACTTTGACAATAAATTGACAGCTGTCAACTGTCAATTTTTCCAATCTGATATTAGAATTGAATTCAGCTCCCTCATAAGCCCAAACTCCTAATGTTAACAGAGAATATTTACTTTTCTATTCTTCGTTGACAGTGAATTGACAGCTGTCAACTGTCAATTTTGCCAATATGGCATTAAAAAATTGAATTCAGCGACCTCAAGAATCCAAACTCTCAATGTCAACAGAGAATATTTACTTCTTTATTCTTCGTTGACAGTGAATTGACAGCTGTCAACGGTCAATTTGTCCAATCTGACATGAGAATTGAATTCAGTGATCTTAAAAACCCAAACTCTCAATGTCAACAGAGAATATTTACTTCTCTATTCTAGTGAATTGACAGCTGTCAACTGTAAATTTGTCTAATCTGACATGAGAATTGAATTCTACTCCCTCAAAAGCCCAAACTCTCAATGTCAACAGAGAATATTTACTTTTATATTCCACATTGACAGTGTATTAACAGCTGTCAACGGTCAATTTGTCCAATCTGACATGAGGGTTGAATCCAGTGACCTCAAAAACATTACCCTATATATTAGAATAATTGAAATATTCTTTTGACATCTGTAAATAGTATTGAAAATGAAAGTTTTGCAACGGGTCAGGGGAGCTTTGGCAGCTCCGTAGCTGCCAAAATATTCATTTTGGCACTTTGTGCCCATAGAGACTTTTGTTCAGGATGACAAAATCTACAACATATCAAAAATTCAGACAATTTGACAGAAACCCAATTTCCATAAGATTATTGCGGGGTCCTTTAATTTGCTAGATATTAGAATTTAATAAGGAATAGTTTTTCATGTGTTTTCGCATGGTGTAGCTATTGTTAAATTTTGTATAACTCTAAATGTATAAAAAATAGTATAATACCGTAATTTAATTTTCAAATTTGAGCGAGTTCTAGAATCTAACCGAAAAACACTAACTTCATGTCACTTGTCATTATTAACCCATGTCTGGATTTACCGGTTATAATCACCTTTCTGTCGGCGAAGTGGTGTCCATTGGTGGATATTTTGTCCACCAGATATTTAGCAGGAGTGAATTATACATGTCGATTTTAATTCACTCCTGCTAAATAGCTGGAGTAGAAAATATTCACCGACAGGAAGGTGTAATGGATTTTACACCGGGCCAAACGAAAGGTTTAGTGTCCGTTAGTGTAGTTGATTCCTACACCAGTGGGACGAACGATAGAAGCTATAACGTCATAGAAAGTAACCAAGAATAACCAACATCGCTTTAATTAAAAGGGTAAATACTGCAAATTACCGGTTCATCGCTTTAGGTTAATTTGTGCCATTTTTGCCCGTTCTGACAGGTTATTGGATTGCCTAATCATGAAAGTATTATTTTAAAATGAAGAGCATGTCAGATTTAGAAATAAATTAATAATAAGATAAGATATTAATGGTGAAATTTTGGCAGTTTTGTACAACTATGACCTAATTTTTTGCTATAGACAATCCAAATCACGTGACTTTAAATGGTGGAAAAATAGCAAGTAGATGCCTCCCTTGACAAAAACACTTTTATTGTGGCGAGGGGGTTAGTTCCAGTATGGTTTCCACAGCTTCTGTTGGTGTGGTTGACATTGCGATGCACGCAAGCAGCTGTATTTCAGCCAGCTTTGCTCTGGCCATCCGTTAAAGTCCCTTGTTTAACCAGATGACGAAGCCGTACGTAACCATGGGTTTTACCACGGTTTAGTAAATCTAGTAGATCAGTTTGCTTTGTTGCATATCCTTCTGAGGGTCTAGAGGGATAATCTGGCTTTGGTTTCTTTCTAATTGGGGGTTCCAGGTGAGTTTCTTATCTAGGATAATCCACAGATATTTCACTTCCTCTGCAAAAGGAATGGTTTCTTCTGCCAAGGTAGGTTGTTGAAGCTTGTTGTTTTCTTGCCTTGTTGAAGAGGTCGATAACAGTTTTCCAAAGGTTTCCTTTACATTAACTGCATTATACACTAAGATAATTTTCTAACACTGACTCCAGGAGAACTGTATAGAAAAACGATGATGTTGAACGTAAATGTACAGGGCGGGCGTATAGTTTACCGTACTGCGAAGTCCATGCAATAACGGTGGAATTCACACTGCTAATTGGAAGTCCGTATGAATTCCACCGTTTAAATAAATGTATTTCAATGCCGCATGTCATTCGCGACACGACAAACTATACGTCGTGTGCATTTAGTGGAAGACACACATGCTATTCCACTAGTAATAGAAGTGTAACCATTACAGCAGACAGACAGGCGAGTAACTCTATAACCCTCACAATTTTGCTTGATGCATTAGTTAAAGTACTCTATATTCCTGGAGAAGTCGTGTATTAAGAGCCGTCTATGAACTTTACTGGGTTTATTTAATTATATGCCTCATACTTATACTTTTTAATATAAGGGGAGGAAGAACGAATAAAACGTTTATAAAATAATAATTTTATCATTACACCTAATCCAAACATTTTCATAAGGCACTTCAAAAGATAAAATCGTGGGTATCCAAGAAAAATTCACTAAGTTTATTTTTGCAAATTCATAATAACTAAAGAAGAATTATCTTTTATTAAAAAAAATTCACTACGGCCAATTCACTCTCTAATAAATATTAAAAAAGTAGATAGACAAAGCCGGTATGGCTTCACTAGTACCAAAGTCGCCGCTAGAGGGCACCACCTGTCAATGATGCGTCACGACTAAGTGGTTTGCGACTTAGCTACGCTATCCAAGATGGCGGTCATCGTTTACGTTAACGTATATGGATTATCGTCGAATAGAAAAATCCTGCGCAATGACAAGCCAAAAGGACCGATTTTATTGAATGAAAACTTACATGAGCACTAGATACTGACCTATTATTTTGTTAAAAAGTGACGCGCGTTTACAACCAGAGGATGTACAAAAAGAGGAGTATCTGAGACTTAGGTTCTTACAGCCACTGCGTAGGATTTTTCTATTCAACGCTGTTGCGTCTCCTATACATTAACGTTTTTGCCGTTTGAATCGAACCAATAAAAGCAGAGTTATGGACTTTTGGTATTATTGCTACTGCGCATGATTTTCTCTTTATCGTTAATCTACGTCACGATTCCTTTATAATGTCGTTTATTCTGTTTGATTCTATTCAATAATAGCCGAGGTCTTTTTCTCTTTAATGTTATTCTACGTCAGGTTAACTTTATAGTACCGTTTTTCCAGTTTGAATATGATCAATAATATCTGGGATTTAGGTCCTTACGGCTACTGCATATGATTTTTCTCTTCAGCGTTAATCTTCGTTACGTTTTCTTTATGTTCTGTTTGAATCGGACTATTAGCAATGAAAATATACATTTACGCCCTTTTGACGTTGCTACTGCGCCTATTTTTTTCTGCAGCGTTAATTTACGTCACGTTTCCATTAAAACGTCATTTTTTCTCGTTTAATTCTATCCGATAATATCCAATACTGGCTCTACGCCTCCTACACAGAGCCGTTTGTTTCGTTTGAATCGGACCAATATCAATAAAGATATGAACTTTTTGTATAATTGTTACTGCGCCTAATATTTCTCTTCAGCGTTAATCTGCGTCACGTTTCCGTTACAACGCCGTTGTTTCCATTTGATTCTCTCCAATAATAGCCCGAGACTTTTTCTCTTTAATGTTATTCTAAGTCACGTCTACTTCAAGTTTGATTCTGTCCAATAATAGTTGCTTTATCTCTTTAATGGTAATTTATTCCACGGCTCCTTCATAGCGTCGTGTATTCGTTTGATTCTATCATTGGACCAGAT